AATCGGTTCTTGTCTTTGCAAATATTTCAACATGTGTTAAAAATGCACATTTTCTGCATTGCGAAAAACATGAATCATGATTTTCTTTTCGTTGTTGATATTGTTTTCATTTAAAACATTTTTTCACGGTATTTGTGCGAAACTTTTAGATTCGTTGGGGAGTTGCACGTGCGAGCGTGTTTAAGCCCACGTGCTTAAGTTTTGCCATATTCGAGTAGCCTCCGGTCCCACACACTATATGCTTTGAAATGCTTCAAACATGCATCAGTGGACGGGGCTGTCAATTTGATTAAGGTACAAGTGAAAGGATAGCACATAAAACATGACAGAGCAGCGCCATTTACCGCACAGGATGTAAGCTTCCTGTTTCAATTTACATAGACGCTCAGATTTCGGCAAACTGCAGTTAAATCCCGCCAAAATTCCGGGAAATCAATTCACATTGTAAATCGAATTCAATTTCCTAAACTGCAAATATATTTAGTATTCTACTTTAATTTGTATTTTCAAGGAAAGCTCCCAAAGATGTTAGAGTAAAATCCTTTTCCAAATTATTTTTAAATCCTACGAAATATAAAGTTGAATTAACACATACTAAAATATAGCTTCAACTGAGACAGAATATTACATTTAAATTTATATTCAAAAATAATATATTTCCAAGAACTTTCCGAGCTCGAGTTAACTATCTTCTTAACTGAAAATGCATGAATGTGAGACAACTTTTAATGCACCTGTAGCTAAAAAGTTTTCTAATTAAAGTTTAATTTTAGTCAATTTTTTGTATTCGAATGAACCTGAACTATTTTCTGAACTATCGCTCAAAAAATATGTCGGCAATTTCAGCTGAACCAGGAGAAGCCTTTCAATAAGCCACGCATCCAATAAACTTTGCAACTAATTTAATGAATTTAAAGTTATAATGAGCTCAGGCTCGTTGCAACGCGTCGTATGAGCGATATGCAAAAGCTTGCAACCAGATATATAAATTGGCAAAAACAGAGCAAGCAGCAGGAGAGAACAAGAGAGAGGCAGAGAGGCAGACAAATCTATTATCAGCTCAGATAAACCACAACACAGCCCACGCGCACTCAAATTATTGTTCGTGTGTGTGTCGTGTGCGTCTGTGTGTGTACATGTGCGTGTTTGTTTAAACAATATTATCCGACGGCAGGCGACAGGCAACAATTTTATTGTTATCTCTGAACAAACGGCCAGGCCAACATAGTTTAACTGAATAGGTGACACTTTCTAAAGAAGACTTCGTCCTTTGTTATCATTCCATCTCACTCTATATATGTATATATAACCCTGTCTCTTTCTTTTTAACTGACTTGTCCTACTGGCCAATTAGATGTGCCAAAGTGCCAGAGCTTGGCGTGTCGTGCACAAAATTCCTGAAAATGTGAGCTGTGCCAGACTTCGCTTGACTTTAAGTAAGTGTCGCCCAAAAGTAGGCAGCACAAATAAAAGCTTTAAGAGGCTTTAAGTTTCCTATTAGGGGGTTTCTTTGCTAGTATATAGTGTGCGGATATTTAAACTGTTGCATTAAAAAGTAATCAGTCTAACATGACTAAATATTGCTTTGGTATTTATAATAATTTGACCTTTAATTTAATAAAACCTATCTAACTGAATATAAGAAAAAATAATAAATACATTAAGAAAAATAGATGAATAGAGAAAATTCCATAAAATAAAGAAAAGCTAGTAAACGGATAAATAAATTAAAAAAACAAAACAAAATATATAATTAATAAATTATAAGAAATAAATAAATAAATAGAAATGACCAAAATTGTATATGTAGATTTAAATAAAATTAATTTTTGCTTTTAACAAACTAAACTCCGGACTGGCTCGAGGCCATGAACTAAAATATATAAAAATTAATATAGAAAAATAAATAAAATTATCCTAAGCTATACATCACAGACATTTAGTGTATATAAAGTTACTATGATTGCTAATTTCGGCTTAACTTCGAAATGTTCTATGACATTTAAACAAATTCTAGATTTTTAAATATTTATATTAAAGTTCTTTTAGACGCGTAAAAGCTATCGAATCGAAATTGATAAGCTCTAAATAAATATTTGACAGCGGGCATAATAATTTCTAGATATTTGAACTCGCTTTAACTTTCTGTTGTGTCATTTTGATGCCATATAACTTATATTCGTTTTGAAAAGGTTATAGAAAGTCTTTCCAAAGAAAATGAGAGTCGCCATCAACATGCATTTATGCCAATGGCATGGGCAGTAAAAGCATATTTTCAATTTGTCAATTTGTGTTAAAAAGGCGCGGTAATGGGGCGTATACGTAATACATAAAAACGTGCTGAAATATTTGCTGCTGTTTACGGCATTTGCATAGTTCTCGGTAGCAATAGCAGAGGGGGGCAAACAAAAAGAAGAAACTGAAAAAAAAAAAAAAGGAAAACAGCTGGAAAAAGCGTGCCGATAGAGACAAGAAGAAGATAAATGAAAGCAAATAGCAGCAACATGTTGATACCACTCGTACACAAAGAGGAAAAAAAAAGGAAACTGTGTGGGCATTAGAGCATAACAAAACGATACCAAAAGAGCACAAAACCAAAGCGCAAGGAAAAGAAGATAAAAAAAATGGAAAAAAAACCGAATTAAATTCATTGCGAATAAAGTTACTTTGCAGTTCTATGCGCTATTTAGCTAGGATTGTATATATATATATAGTTAATGCAGCATATTATAACTTTCCTGAAAAGTTGAATTTAATACTAAACATCGAGAGTCGGAACAGACATGCATCATTTTTTATTGCACTGCGTATCTATTCTTGCTAAATTATAATCTTTTCTCATTTTTCGCCGCATCGCTGCCCGGCTGTCACGTAAAGCAGAAGAAAACCAAGACAATTTTTATATTAAAATTCACTATAAAAAATATTTACAAATGAAAAAATAAACAAAAAAAAAAAGGGGGGGCTAGCATATAATCCTTGACTGAACGAAATGCTCAGTAGCAGTAAATAGAATTTTTATCTCAGAGGGTTGGCATATAGAGAAGTCGAATTCTTTGTATATATTTAATATTTATACAATTCATATATTTAATATTTAAGGCGTACAAACTCTTTGATAAATCGTAATAGCTAAACATGCTTTCCTTTTCTTTAAAAAAAAAAGAGGAGCTCAATAAAGGTGTTGAGGCATTTTGTTTGAACAGGTGAACACAAAGTGTCCGCTTTTTACGCAACATTTGTCAACCTTTTAAGGTTTATGTGCGTGGGTGTGCGTGTGCGTGTGTGTCTGTGTATTTGTTGGTCAGGTGTCAAGTGTCAAACAAACCAAAAAGTGTTTAATTAGGTGCATTATTTGCGTTGCCACGTGCCCGCTGAAATCGAATACAAATGAGAATTCTGTTGTACTTATTAATAGACTTTCGATTGGGCATGTTCTCATATTACAAATTATGTTTCTAGGAATTCATTGGGATACAAACAATTCTTATGAACTGCAACACTCGATGAGATATATTCTCGGAATCTGTTGGTCGCACTTGTTTTTCCTGCTGGCTTGTCCCCTTTCATATGAATGTCATCAATCCGACAGGAAAATATCAAAATTGCATCAGAATATTGGCATCGATGAGACAATTGCAACAATGAGGTTTTTCTGTGTGTGTCTCCGTGTGTGCATGTGTGCGTGTGTGCATGTGTGCGTGTGTGCATGTGTGCGTGTGTACATGCTTGTTTTTTTACGTGATACGCCTTTGACCCAATCGACTTTCAATTATTTTCATTATCACACGTAAATACTTGGAAAAGTTTTCAATGGTAAACTAACATTTTAGTCTTTTTCATACGGTTGATTATATTTAGTACAAATGCAATTTTATCAAATAAAGCTACCCAAAGGGGAAGTAATTTACTAGAATGTCAAAACTAAGTGGCATTAAAACTACAAGTAACCAAAAGCTAAGATATCATTGTAAGCCTTAGAATAAACTTACAAAGTTTGTGGAAAATCGTTGACAGACACAGACACAGACACAGACACGGCAGGGCCTTAAAAGTTTTCACGACATCCGTCGTAAATTTGTGCTTGGCAACAAAATGCTGATCAATCTGTGGACTGCTTTTGGTTTTTAGTTATTTAATTGTATTTACACACTCGGTGCAACAGAGAGGAAGTCCGTGGGGCAAATTGAAATTTACACAGAAAGTTTAGAAACTTTACATACAGTTGAACTTCGTTTATCGTTGATACCTGGGACCAAGCTCATTAAGGATTATCAGAAAATTGTGGCCAACGGAAGTATTGTTAAATTCCATGAAATGCATTTATTAAGAAAAAAAATGCATTTAAGGTACTTGGTTTGTCTGCGGTTGATTCTATATCGCGAATTACCTTTATTATGCGAAAGCAAAAGAGGAAGAGGTAATAACAATTAATGGGACAACACATTCAAGCGCTCGCTGTTAACAGGTGTGACTGGCTAAATGAGTTACCGATAAACGGCTTTCGAATGTATTTTGTAATCGAAAAATTTAAACACCGTTTGCAGGCAATATAATAAAGAGTTACGCATTCGGATGGGATCTACATATAAAATCAGTAATTGCGATAAACTTCAACAATCTCTAATGAATCCTTCAAAGCTTTAGTAGTACACTTACTGCAAGTGGATAAAGGAGATAATAATGGCATTGCTCATTAGATGCGCTTTCCACAAGCGCCAGTCCTTCAGGTGGATCTGAATTCAAGTGCCAGGCTTTAGCTTGAGTGCATTGTCTTAGCTTAGCTTATTATAATATGCCAACAATAACAAATAATCCCTTGCCAGTTGCCATTACAAAACTGCGTAGAAATATTGCCATAAATATTTAATTGGCCTCTGCATCGTTTCATTTTGTCTGCTGATGCTTGAATGTCCTTTGTTGGATGCGTGCGTGTGGGTGGGTTTGGATGTGGGAGGCAGTTCTCAGTCCAATTAATTGGCATTAGCTGTGCACTTGAAACTATTAAAGTCCTTCTTTCTCTCTGCCTCTCTAGACAAAAAATGGATTTACCCAGGCCACTGGAAAAGCTGCTCAGCTGCAGCTTGTGTCGACGCATGTATGACCCAAGCGATGCCTCAAGGTTGCCCAAGGAGCTTAACTGCCGGCATAGCTACTGCGCCGGCTGTCTGGAGCAGCTGGCCGTCTACCTGAAGGTGACATGTCCCCAATGCGAGCAGGAGACGCAGATGCCGGATTTTGGTTCGTTGCCGACCAATGAGGGTTTGCTGTTTATGCTGCATCAGCTGCCGGCTTTGCAGCTGGGCATGGTCATGTTGCAGATGCAGCACGAGCAACAATTGCAGTCGAATTACCGCAATCTGACCAACTCAGCCTGGCCCAACTGGCAGAATGAGATGGGTTTGGATAGACAATCGCGCGGCGTCCACGAGAATTGCAATTTCCATGCCATGCCCCATACGATATGGTGCTACACCTGTCAGCAGATGCTGTGCCGCGCCTGCATCGTGGATGCCGGACATCATGAACATCGGACGACGCGTCAGCTGGACATGTGCGAAATGTTGCGTCGCCTGATCTGCCAGGAGCTGTACACGTTTGAGGAGCGCATCACGTATGTCGGAGTGCTGGCAGCGGGCGATATGTCGCTGTTGCGCCAAGTGTTCGATGCCTGCGGCAAGATGCAGGAGCAAGTGCAGCGCCAATTGCTGCAGCATGAACCAACTCTACGCGTAAACCACATGCACAACTGGTGGCTGCGCGTCACAGACCAGTTGCAGATGCATATGCCTGGAAACTTCACGCGCTGTGAGCTGCTGCGTCTGCTGAACGAGCTGCAGGAGCAGTGCAAGAAATTCCACAAGCAGATGCTGTACATCTATCGTGAGTGTCGTTTGCGTGCCAGCATCCGGGAGGGAGGCCTCCAGCTGCTGGACTTGGAGCAACTGCATCGCCAACTCATGTCGCTGCGCCAGTCGCCATTGGGATCGGTGCCAGCTACAGTGGAGCCGCCGCCGCTACTCCTACTAACCAACTACTGCATCTATGAATGCTGGTGGGCCATTCAACGGCAGCTGTTGCCAGCAGATCTGGTGGAGGAGGAGCAGGTGGAGGAGCCGCGGCGGTTGCCGTTGGTGCGGCTCAATCACCATCGCATGTCTACATTGTGGGAGGAAATCAGTGGCTCCTCCATCAGCAGCAGCAGCAGCAGCAGCAGCAGCGACACCTCCAGAAATCCGGCGGCTCACAATCGGCTGAATCGGCTGGACGAGCAGCTGCGCACAGTAAAGCAACGCAAAGATGTGGCACAGCCTGCCAATTCGATTTGCTGCATGACGCAGCGCAATCAAAGCTTGCAACTGACAGTAGAGCCACATCCACAAAGCGTCAATTTTGACTTTGATATGCCCAGCACATCCGCAGCTGCAGCTGCTGCAAGAGCAGTTGCAGCCACCACAGGAGCAGTTGCAGCTGCCCCTGGCGCAGCTGCTCAAGTGGGGCTAACCCGACGTCCCAATTCCATGGGCTATCCCATCTACTATCTGGACATGGTCATGGATGGCAAGCCAGTGGGTCGTGTGCTCATCGAGGTGCGCAACGATGTCGCACCGCGCATGGCCGAGAATTTTCGCGCCCTGATCCTGCACGAGCGTGGCTTTGGCTATAGGGGCTGCTCCGTATTCCAGGCCTGGGGCAATGAGAGCATTATCACTGGCGACTTTGAGCTACAGAATGGTCGTGGCGGTTATGCCGCCCTCGATGGTGGTTTCTTTATACCGGATGGCACTGGGTTGCCCGCGAAGCGCGGCGCAGTGGGCATGCGACGTGGCCAAAAGCGTCACGATAATAGTGGATGTGTGGGCAGCCAGTTTCGCATGGTGCTCTATGAGAGGCTCCCCTTTACGGCCATATTCGGCTTCATTGTGAATGGGATCGATGTGCTGGACAGGATAGCCAGCACGGCCAGTGCAACTAAACGGCCCGCGATGTGCACCTTTATCAAGAATTGTGGCGAGTATCGCCGCAACGGAATCTAAATGTTTGTTAGTGACAGCCCCTCCCCCGCACCCTGCTTAATCAACTCTGCTTAATCCTATAGAAAATTAAGAAAAATTAAATTATTGACAACCCTACGAGTTCTATCTAAGAAACATATTATAAAACGATATATAAAGCATGGCCAAAATGACAGCCCGCAAAAGTTGATATCTTAAGAGTGTATATAAAAAATATCTCTCTATGTATGTATGTATGTATGTATGTGTGTATAATATATATGTGTATAATCCATACAGCAAATTTTTTTTTTTGAATAAGAAAAATCTTTTGATAGGCGTTTTCCAACAAAAATTTATGAAAATGCATCAAAGAAATAACACTACACGCAAATTTTGGATGCTATTTTTTTTTGTAAAGGGAATTTAACCAAAATTTGACAACAATATAAACATTCAGGTCGGCCCAACTCGACTGATACCCTGTAATCATTTTATAAACCAACTTGAGTGAACATTTTGAGAAAAACTTTCGAATATACATGAAAACATTTTTAATGACATCTCAAAGGGAAATATTTACAGGGACATACATATATGTATATATATAAACATATTTATTCCCAAACAATATTGACAAACAAACACAGACACAAGATCTGCAAGACAGCAACAAGATTAAGTACAGACAAGCGTATTTACCGCAAAGAAAACTTATTAGAATTTTGAGAAAGAGTTACCTGGACAAAGAAATTGATTGCAACAAAGTTAGAGTTTAACTAAATCTAAGATATATTAGTTATAAGTACTACAAAACTGTATTTCTTGAAGCTGAAACATTCATCGATAAATCTGACTCAATGCTGACTACATTCTCTGCAAACAATTGTTTGCAACAACAGATCTAACGAATATCTATGAATTTCTTTACTTTAGATCTGAAAAAAGAATCTATTTTAAGCACATCTAAAGTGTTTCAATTTCATTTGAATATTATAATATATCGGAAAGAATTTAGTTGGTCAACAACAACAATGCATACAATACAGTAATACCAAAATATTAATGTAATCAATGTGGAAAACTACATAAAACTGAATTGAGCAACACTTTAAGACCGTGAAACAAAGGTATTCAAAATATTTATGAGAAAACTCTTTTAAACTAAGTCAAAACAACTTAAAACCATCCAAGTTTGAAAGTAATCAAGAGCTAAACTACTTGAAAAGGACATTTTAGTCGCAAATATACAGTAAAAAAAAAAGGATATAATTATATACAAATATTGATCATATTCAAAATTACAATATTCCTAATATACACTAACATACACTATACTACACATTGTATTCCTCAGTTTATTCCTTATTTTAATTGTTTAGAGTTTTTATCAGTAATCTATTTCAAAAATTATTTTTATAAAGTTAGATATTTAAATTCAATCGTAGGATAGTTCGAAAGAGCCACAAAAAGAAGAAAATTGTTACGTATAGCAGAAACGAAGAATCCCAAACATATTGCTTAAAATATGTTAAAAGTTTGAAATGCAAAAAGGAGATTTACAATTGGCAAATGCTGAATGCAAATGAAAGTTAACGCTGTGTCGGATATTTGGAATGTGATATAAAATTGAGAAACGCAACAGACAGCCTTATTCTGTAATTATGTTGAAAAGATTTTAAATTTAATTGCTTCAAGCTCAATTAATCTCACTTCAAGTGACTTTTTTACATTTTGTCTTATGTTCGTTTTATACAATTATATTTACATACAATTATATTTATATGCAATTATATTTACATTTTAAATATTTACAATTGAAATGTTATTAACATAATCAAAATATCGAAAAGTATTAACCTCTGAATGTATATGTTTAAGTGTCTATTTATATCTGCAAATGGAGCATACGACTCCCCCACGTACCGGTGAATTACATAGAGGGTCTCGGAGCATTGACGAGCCGTACAAACTACAAAAAATTGAGCATTTCGATTTGACATTAACAAAGCTAATCAGCTAATCGAAGATATTGCGACGGTTGTTTGGAACACAAAAAAATGTGCCAAAAATACAAATAATAAAAAAATAAAAATTTGAAAGTTATTGATGTCTATATATACACGCATATATGCGTAAAGCAAAGTCAAAACAGTTATTCGAGTTCTATGTGTTACAATTAAAAATGTAAAAGCTGAAGATTTCAATAAATGTTGTCCCAGCAAATGTCTTTATTTATTATAAAAAGTAAGTGAGGGTGCAAAAGCACATTAAACTCGTTTCAAAAGCCCAACAATTGATTTAAAGGCAGCATCCTTGTTTTTCTACATCTAGTTATGTCAACAGATTACATTACAACATTTCAATATCGTAGTACAATGGTTTTTTGTCTAAAATATATTCAGGCATTTGCATTGAATGCATTCTTTATGAACATGTTATCTAAGGGGAAAAAGACCCAATGTACCTTTTCCTGAATCCTCAAAAAAACAAAAGTTCGATTTGAGACCAACATGAAATTCTTAGAGAACAAAATGTAGCTAGACTTTAACATGAGGATATCAGTAGAAAACTGTTCTGTTTTTGCATAACGAATCACTTTTACAATCACCAATTTGATTATATTAGGGTATCTTATATATAAATATGACACATACCTTATAGAAAACATCTGGAACATATTGTTTATCAGTCGATTCGCGTACATAACCCAATTCGGGGGCATCCTTGGTGGGTATCAGACAATCATCACGCACCAGAGCCATGCACTGAGCGGACACAGCATAGCCTTCCATGTGCACTTGTTTGGTTTGATCACCTTTTTAGAGATTTTAGGAAGAATATAGTATATGTACAAGCTGTATAATGATATTATATGATCTAACACTCACCAGTCACACAAATGGTCACAAATTTGGAGCCGAAAGTGCCATTTGTGGCATATTTACATGGATTGGGATGACGATTCTGCAGCTCACCCGCTGATATGCACTCCTGAGCGGTGAGAAAATGTGTCTCAATGCCGCGTATTTGTTTAACAGTGCCCGCACTGGCATCTTCCGTAATCAGATCCGTAAAGATCCAGCCAATCTGTTACATGAATTTAATTCATCAATAAATCTAAACCGAAAATTGTGCAGGCACTCACCTTTTTAAGACCTAATGCTTTGGCTACGGCGTCCACTTCATCGGCGCCCTCATCTGGACAGATGTTAATCGAATCGCGTGATGATTCCTGCGGCGGCTCATAGATGGCCGCCACTTTGGCGCGTATGCCCAAAGGCACATCCGCATGCTGCTCGTAGGTGCCATATAACAAGCCCATGCGCTGATGTCCCGTGGTGCGCCAATAGTTCAAGAAGCGCTCCACTATTTTGGTATTCTCAAACATAACGTTGTCCACGTGACGATATGTCTGACGATTAAGCGTTATGGCCGACGGCTGACACTTGGAGCAGATGCCCTTGGGCCACGGAGGATGCTCCCGACAGCCGGGCTTGATGCGGCAATTGATGTCATCGAATACAAAGTACTTGCCATGATCCATGCCTGAAGTTTGCTTGCGTATGTATGAGTGGAACGACAAGTGCTTGATATTGTGATCCTTAAGATAGCTCTCGTCATAGGGTTCCAGCGGGGAGCAGTGTACGCAACGACCATTGGCATTGTGATGGCAACTGGGGCAAATAAATGAGAATAAAAAACGAATAAGTAAACAATTTAGAAATAATGTTAAAATTCAATGCATTTCAACGCAGCTCATTAAAAGCTTATATGATTCATTTTATGTTGCTGAATACCGTTTTGTGTAGGCATTTACTGGATTCTCCTTTCAACCTTTAAATATTTTAGATTATAACATATATTTCCGTTCAGCTAATATCTAAACTATCAGTAAATTTTAATAACCATGTCCAGAGTAGAGCCCTACTTATCGCTATCAGCTTTTTCCGAGCCTCCTCTCTTGCACTTACAGCTTACTATCGCGTTCACGCTTGATGGTGCCATCAGATTTTAGCAACTGTAGATCAACCTCATCCTCGATCACATTAATGGAGGAACGTGCGTTGTTGCCAAGCTTCTCTGTGGACAATTTGGCAGCGCTATTGTATGACAAGTTCTCAATGGCTGTGGTGCTCGTGCGCTGCAAGTTGACAAATTTGATTATTTATGAAATAAATTCACGATTATAGGGAAACTTACGCGTGATGAAGTGCCCGCAATTTGTTTTAGATATAGCATGTCGCCATGCTTGAGCATGCTGCCCACCAGCTGGGAGCCATTTGCTTGCAGCTCTGTGGCAAAGCTGCGCTCCATGAACAGACCAAAGCCATCGACTTTGAGTGCGTTCTGTACGCTGTCATAAAGTTGTTTAAGATTTGATTTTGGCGAGATCTCGATGCGTTTGATGCCCTCCGCAGACTGCACGCGTATTAGCTGTGAACCGATCAGTATATATTTATATAAATTAGTTAATATAATTAATTAAAATCGAATAAAGCTCGATCACACCGATTGTTTACATAACGTAAAGAGACGATGGCGCACAAAGGCATAGACAAAATTGCGCTTCCTATAGATGAATTGCTCGAGCAGCAGCGGTGCACTGGCCATGTTGTTCTTCTTGGTGTTGTTTTGGCCAAACGGCTGCGCTTGTTATTGTTGTTAAGCGTAGCTTGCGCTACTTTAGTTTAGCCTAAAAGGCCGGATCTCAGCGTATTGCACTGTACGACATGCACGCGCGCATTCGACTGTAGCAGCAAAACGAATTTCCGTACCAAATATTTTGGCATTATTTACAAAATGTAAATAAATGTGTTAATTGTGCCAAAAAGAGAACAAGCTGCACTGCCATGGTCACAAAATCCACTTGCCTGACATAATGACACCCGCACCTGCCCCCTTCAACCACCAACCCCTCCTCCAACCAATGCGCAGTTCGCTGCTTTGGCTGCAAAATCTACAAGTCATTGTACCTTTGTTTAAGTGTCTGTCCCCGTGCCGTCGTGTCTGTCTGGCGTCGCCGTGGAAACGAATTTTCACCAACCTCACCCAGACTGCCAATTACGCTATGTACTTTCTGCACGCTTTAAACAATCACCGAATTCTATGTTTTTTGGGAAAAACTTATTTTTATTTTGCGGCTGCAACAACAAAGCGTTGCAATTTTTTTCATATGCCGGCGTTTTGAACAGTCAGCATATGCAGCGACGCGGGGCTAATATAGACTCGCCATGCACACTGTGCAACATTGAAAAACTCTGCCAAGCACCGCAATAAGCACTTTTCAACAATCCAATAAGGAATTTACTTACAATTTTATCAGACATTGCTTCAAAATAAATTGCACTTGGAAGCAAAGCAGCACTTGTATAGACAATATGTATTAAGTGTGACCATGCTCACACAATTCACAAGTGCCTAATAATCAACGTGACAAAATACCAAACTCTGTTAAATGGTTTAGCACCACTGTTAAGTTAACAGCTGAGTTTTGTAAAACGCTTCTTGCTTGTTGAAAAAACGTTAATTTGAAAATTGTTTTCAAAACTACGTACTTTTTGTGCACATTTTGTTACATATATTTTTAATTAGAATTTACAACAAACAAGCATTTTGCTAGTGGAAGACTGCTACTTAAAGCTATAGCGTGCGGCAATGGGTATTTTAATCATATTTTAAATTACCCATACATATATACTTGATATCTACATAATCGTCGATGCCATGCCTGGAGCCTTCGCGTCCCACGCCCGACTCCTTGACGCCGCCAAACGGAGCCTCTGGTGCGGAGATAATGCCTTCATTAACACCCACCATGCCTACCTCTAAACGCTTAGCCACGCGGAACACCTGCTGCAGATTCTCACTGTAGAAATAGCCAGCCAGACCACGTTGCGTGTCGTTTGCCTTTTGCACTGCCTCCGCCTCATCTTTAAATTTGATGATGGACACAACGGGTCCGAAAACCTCCTCGGTGTAGATATGCGCCGACGTTGGCACATCTGTGACTATGGTGGGCGCATAGAAGAGGGAGCCAAGCTCCTGCAGCCCCTTTCCACCCACTATGATGTTGGCCTTCTTGTCGCGCGCATCCTCCACAAAGCCGCTTACTTTGTCGTACTGCATCTTGTTGATCAACGGACCAATTTGCACATCTGCAGATTTGCCATCGCCAATCTTGAGCGCCTCCACTCGTTGCTTCAGCTGCGACACAAACTTATCATAGATGCCCTCCTGCACAAAAAAACGATTTGCCGAGACACAAGTTTGTCCGCAGTTTCGGAATTTGGAGGCCATGGCGCCATCCACCGCCTTCTCCACATTTGCCGAATTGAAGACAATAAACGGTGCATTGCCGCCGAGCTCCAGGCAGACGCGCTTAATCCCATCTGCGCTGTTGCGGAAGAGCAGCTTGCCAACCTGCGTGGAGCCGGTGAAGCTAATGCCACGTACATCGGGACTCTTGCAGAACAGTTCTCCAATTGGAGCGGCCTGCTTGGTGGTCACCACATTGATGACGCCCTTAGGAATGCCCGCTTGCTCGGCCAACTTGGCAACAGCGAGTGCTGTGAGGGGCGTATCCTCTGAGGGCTTGACGACCACGGTGCAGCCGGCGGCTAAGGCAGCGCCCGCTTTGCGTGTTATCATGGCCAACGGAAAGTTCCAGGGTGTTATCAGCGCAGCCACGCCTATGGGCTGCTTCATGACAATCACCTCACGATTTGGCTGGCCGCTGGGCACTATTTCGCCATAAATACGACGCGCTTCCTCGGCAAACCACTCGACGAACGCATTGCCATAGACGACCTCGCCCCTAGACTCATTGATGGGTTTGCCAGACTCGGCTGTCATGATTTCGGCGATTTCCTGTGCATTCTGCTCGATGAGCTGGTGCCATTTCTGGAAGAGATTAGCAGGGTTTAGTGTTTTCTTCTTGGTGCATCCATATGACAATTATATACTTTCAACATATTTGAGCGATCCTTGGCGGTTAGGGAGCGCCACTCCTTGGACTCATAAGCCTGCTTGGCGGCATTAATCGCCTGCTGTGCATCCTCGACTGTCATATCGGGCACATGGCCAATCACCTGTCCATTGGCGGGATTTTTCACCTCAAAAGTTTGCCTGCTGCAGGAATCAATCCAATTGCCATTGACCAATGCCTTGGTCTGCACCAGCGCTGAGAAACCGCGCATTCTGCTGACCTTCAATGTACTAAGCCTTCGGAACATGGTTTAGCCTGCATTTGGCAACAAATCAATGTTAACATTGTTTTTTTTTTTTTTGTTTTTAGCGGCAAGCGATTGCCGCTTATCAATTATCATTATCTCTCACCTTATATGGAACAGTTTGGGCTCACTCGTCTGATAGCTGCGCTTTTCTCCGCTTTTTCTATTTGTTTAGCGGCCTTTTGTCTATTTGATTGGTTTCAATTGATTTTGATTACAGCGAGTGGACACAGCTGAATGCAGAGATTGTTACGTCAACAAGTGCGCCACTTTTGCGCTCTATTTGCACATGACGTCACAGACTCAATTGAACCTTATAAAGGACTCGAGTATAGTATGCGAAATCATGATTTTAACGAAAATTTGCAAAAAATAATAACAATTTAAGCGAAACAAATTAAGAGCAATTTATGACAACTATAGCTCAATAAGAGATTAACTGCAGAAAGCCAACTCACATGACTGTTAGTATTTTTTTTTTATTTGTTACAATTATGTATGCATATTTATTTGCATATATATCTTTCGTCATTTACACCTTATTTGCTGATATCCATGTGACGTCACAGTTGCACTCTCATCAAAGATTAATAGACCAGCGTAATGCGGTATCTCTAATTATTTGGCTACATGTGAACAACTAAAATATCGATATATCGACTTACATTCTCACATTTAGATTTATGTTAATATTAGTAATTTCTGTTTGCCTTCGTGATGTACTGTTAACCGAAAACATGCTCTGCTAACCGATAATTATTTTCGTACTTTGGTCTTACAGCACTCAGCTTGTGTCCGTGTTAGGCTAACGCACTTTTAAATTTAAAAATCGTAATATGGAAAAGAAAGTAGCGTTCTGCCCATTTCAAGCCGTCGCGAGGGAAACAACGCGTTGTTTATGTTGTTGCAGACAGCGCCACTTGTTTGTCCGATGCCGTTTGCCATGCGCGGCAGCCATGCACTAAAAACTTGATCAGCCATTCCTGCAAGCTCTTGGGTTTGTTTTTTTTTGCTAACCTTTCTGTATGCCATTTACCTGTCGCTTTGCATGCGCCGCCGCCGCTGGACAAGTGCTCCATTTATTATGCACAGCTATGGCCATAGATTTCACATGTGCCGATGGCAGGTTCTGACTGGTCGCGCTGCCTCTTACCTACGCGCCGGCTACTGGTCATGCAGGCTTCATGCGCCGGGCACCCGACGCCGGGCAATCTGTGTTGCAAATTTTTGTCAATAAATTTTGGCGGAGAATGCCAAAACAAGCTGGTCGGTCACACGGAGCATCATAACTGTTAAGATAAGATTGCCCAGATGCGATGCTAGGCCAAAATGAATTCAATTAGTTCTGATTTAAAACTAATTGAAAATGCGTCCAACTAAACGAAGAGAGCGCGCCCCTGGAACTGGGACTGGGACTGGAACTGGGCCTGGGCCTGGGCCTGTCGATAGGTGTGTAAGTTATTTGTCTTAAGTACTGCCGGGAGGCGTTGCATGCCACAGCAATTCATGTTCGCATGACTTTTATGATTATGGCCAAAACGAGCGAGATACTCTAGACTCTAGGCGAGTTGTTAATGAAGTGCTCACACTCGCGATATTTTGGGCTGGATTTGAATGTCTACTTAACTGCACAATTGTGACAAGTTTAATGCGCTGCACAGAAATTTATCGGGTCGCAAAGAACCCTACTCCAACGTAGAAGAAATAGGCAGCGTGCCTTTTGTATAGCTAATTGTAATACGAAATCATAACACGCCATAAAAACGAGACAAAAGCAAAAGAGAGATATGGGACCGGTTCCGAGACGCGTTCGGTTTGCAGGCCAAGCAGCTGGTCAATGGCAAACAATGCTCTAAGAAACTCTAACATGGAGTAGATCAGCTATAAATCATGCTTGCAAACACGTTCCTTCAAGAGAGAGACAGAGAGAGAGAGCGAAAGAGAGAGAGAGAGAGAAGGAGAAAGAGTAACCATCTGTTGTCTTGGACCGGCAGCTTTCTGAAAGGACCAAGTGGCAGCCAGGACTTGCGGCAAGCTTAGGGCGTCGAACTGGTTGCCACAGAGATAAAAATGTGTATAGCGATCGTGTTTTTAGCAGCTGCTCCTGCTCCTGCTCCGACTTAAGCGCCACACAAAATGGCTGCCAGGATAATAGCCTTGCCTCCTGCTGCTCCTGTTGCTGCTGCCGCTTGGCTGCTTGGCTGACTCACCTTGGCACGTGGTGCCGCTGCTTGACAGCTTCTGCAGCTGCTCAAAAAGAAAACAAGCAAGACAGCCCTAGGCGAAGAGGGCTGACTAGCAGCTACCCTAGAGGCAGCACCTCATACTGAAGCTGAAAATATATACGTAGTTCTGTACAGACACGAAACCAAACAGAAATTTCATTCTTGAATAACTCTCGTCTTTAATGTCCGATCGGAATTCACATAACTGCAGAATGTCATTTAAATGTGTTGATATACCAAAAATCAAAGCTGTATCTCTTAACTAAGTCTAGGAGATATATGGCTTGTAAATATTGACAGAGTGAACAATTATTTCAATTTGTATAACATACAGAAACAGACTAGTTTAGAAAATCGATATTTTGATCGATTTTGGTTAAATGAAAAAAGTTATCAATGCGTATGCAGCTTTCTATGTCACCTCTCTATGTCGCCTCTAAGGTCTTATAGTCCTTAAGGTATAGTCGATCTCACAGATATACGACTCGGCTGTTGATGCTGATCAAGCAGTACAGGCGGGAGTTAACACTATCCTGTTAATTAACATAACCCGATCATTCGATAAGCTAGCGATAGACACAAATCGTCTGTTGTCTACCGATTTGATTTTTATCGGCAGCAGCGTGAAGTTGACTCACTTTCTACTTTGTGCTATGACTGTAAACAATACATAAAAATCTTACACATTTATATATATATATATATACATGTGTGTATGTCCCTTATAGGGCCGATGCACTCTGCTCTCTGTTGCACTGCAATATACCCCTCTTCCATGACAACAGGGTATACTAATAATATACGTCAAGACGTTGTTGGCGGCAGCTGTACGCAATTGGGACTCTGCCCGGACTATCCCGTTGTTGACTTTGAGTCCTGCCAGCAGCAACACGTGTGTGAGTGTGCGTATGTGTGTGTGTGCGTGTGGATCGCTGTGCTGGGCATAATTATTATTTACCTTTGGCTCAAGGTTATGGCATTATTATAGCCAACTTGATTATTAATTCATAATCTGGATCCTCGCCCCTACGCCAGCCCATTGTTTGTGATCTACTTTCGTTAGGGCCGACATGTTCTGGCATGCAGCCGTCGCCCTTTTGCCATTGCCAGCCCGGCTGTCCTTGAGCTTGGGCCGGGGCCAACCCTAAGGACGATGCGTTGTTGGAAACCGCGCAACCCCAATTCAAAAATAATAATTACGCACTCAAACACACACACACACACTCGATTCAATATATGAGTTTCCTTTCTGATTGTCATCTTCGCGGCAGCGAGTCCTTTTTTTTTTTTTTTGTTTTTGTTCCTGCTACGCATAATCTTTGCCATTGAAATCCCAAAAAAACAGAAAAAAAACCTTATTGCGCATTCCTTTCAACGGCCAAAGTCGAAATTTGGTACAATTATTGTGCCATGTTCCCATTGTTCGCTATGCGTAACTCATCTCCAAACTGGATTCCTTTCCTGTTTACCGATTCGCTGTGGGGTTGGTTTTATGGCCAAACAATTGACATACACTGTGCGAAATTTGCAAGTTGTATGCGACATTCTTTTAGCTAACGAATCATAAGCTAACCTCAAAGTGTGTGTAATTACTGTACATTTCCAGGCTCGCCCATCTACAGTTATCTAACCTAACCTCAAAGTGTGGCATTAGTGTACAGACTCGCTAAGCTATAGAAACGGAATAGATTTGATTTGGTTTTTGCAACAAATGTTCAGCATTTGAATTTCAGTGTAGTCCAGTAAGTTCTGTCTTTAAGCTAAGCCTTTCAGAACCAACATAACCTCAAAGTATTTTAGCTAAGTTTCTTTTTTGAAACTATGCTCGCTTTTATTTTGGATGAGTACAACATAGAAATCAAAATATTTTCCATTTGAAAATATAGTATACACAATTTCCTTAGAAACCTAACCTAACCTCTAACGTAACCTCTACGTATTTTACAAAATTTGTATTATTGCCATGTGTAATATTATATTCTATGTAGAAATCAACCTATTTTCGCTCAGATTTCCTAATACGCCACAGCTCTAATTGTGCATTGAGACCTCCCATCGAAAACCCATTAAAAACTGTACCAACAAAAATAAATAAATGAAGAAAACTTGTTGAAAAGCAATCTGCGAACGGAGAGCAGAACTACGCATTCGAGTTGGCACTGATGCATAATTTATGCAACCCCAAGACTGTAAATGTTGCGCATTGGCACACTAGGACAAGGCTTAATAATATATTGGGGTGGTTTTTTTCTCCCTTGTGGGGGGGAAGGTTTCCGAAATGTTGCCCCAAACGAAATGTGGAACTGCGTCATGCAAACGGATTCTCACGCTTTTCGATTTGTTTGCCATTTTGTGCGCAGCTTCTTCTTCTGTGCCCCTGCTCCTTAGGCTCTGGCTCATGCTCATTCTTATCCTCATACTCGGGCCTCAGCCGTGTCCTTGTCCTTGTCGTCTTTGATTTGGGTAGGCCTTTTTGCATTGCAATGCGCCTTTGTGTCTCGCGTGTTTCCTGAGACGAGGTAACAGCCCATTGCTCCATAATTACACACCTTTGTGTGCGCGTGTGTGTGTGTGTGTGCGTGTGTTTGTGTGTGCGTGTGTTTTTGCCCTAGGCCAAAATGCATTCATATTTAAATTTGTATTCTCTTGTTGGGAAAATGCAACAAACAACATTTTTTTTCTACCTTCTTGTGACATTTCCGTTTAATTGTTGCAAATGTGTTTAATTTGTTTAATTTAATTTTGTCCCTGTGGCAAGTTTATCGGGCTTTACCCTGGCAGCTGCTGCCTGTATCTTATTTTTGCCAACTTTATGCGAATATCTTAACGCATAAACAGATCAAATTACGAGCAGAGAACGCAGAGCAAAAACAACAACAACAAAAAACCGGAAGTTTTTAAATCAGAAGAAAAAGAAAACAAAAGCGCCGCTTAATTTTTAGCTGCTTTTTTTTTTTTTATATTTACGCCCCATTTTATTTAATTCTTTGGTAGATTCGCATAAATATTGCGGTCTGCCGCTAAAGGATGCTGTTTGAACTTGAATGAACAAAAAAAATGTGAAATAAAATAAAAAACGATCTCAATTCGCGCTGGATTTGCTTTCAGTTAAGTGTAAACACAATTTCAGTTACATTTTTGCACAGCGTTCT